GGTAATTATCAAAGAAGCCCCAGAGCTGGGCAAACTCCGCCGTTTCCTCTTGAAACTGATTCGTGTTTGAACGGCATCTGCTCCCCAGACCTCCAACCGAGGCGGACGCAGATGATTCACGGAGCTCAGTGTCGAAATCCAGCTTCTTTCTCGAGTCCAACACCCCAGATCCACCCGAATCCCACATTAGTCAGACAAGCAGCACTCCGAAGTCTCCAGGACCCATTATTACTGTAAGTGCTCTAAGACACAGCGGGGCTAATCTAGGCAAGTAGTCTGGGACCCTACAGAGGAAGGTCATTCTTTACTGATATCCAATTTAGAAAAAGGCAACTTTCAGAACCAACTGTCTAGAGAAGCAGCGCTCTCGCTCTAGGGGGCGAGGTCACTCACCCGAGTTCCGTGTGTGCCGCAGAGCTGCCGTCACAAGGTCAGAAGCGAACTCCTGTGCCGCGTCGGCACGGCCTGGACGCCTCGTTCGGTAAGTGCGTCTAACTCGGACCTCCGCGCACTGTCTGCAGATGGGGAGCAACCACATTCTCCTTTCGCAAGGAATTCTGTTCACTGTGATCCTGACATTTTCCATGTTTCCCACGTCTAGCATAAATAAGCTGTTTGAACAGTAAGAAGGAGCATTCACAAAGCAAATACATAATGGCCCCATATATATTTAGAAGAATGGATTACAGACAGGGATGGAAACTGGAAGATAGGCCCAACAAGAATTTGAAATCCTCAGGTGTGTCATTATGTTTTAAAACATTCATTAAAAAGAGACAAGGAAGATTTGGCTTTTAAGCACTCCACATGGAACAGGGTGAGTTTACTTGAGGAAATTAAAATGAAGATTCATAGTACAGGGAAGAGTTAGAGGCTTCTAATCTAGAAAAACAGTACTTTGGATAAGAAGCAAACCACTTATTCAAAACAGAAATAAAGTTTTAATACTCGTGGGAATAAATTTGTCCTTGCCATCATTATGCAAGCAAGTTCAAGTTAACTCAGAGGAATGGCAAAACTGACTTATAAAAACATTATTTTTTACAGTATTTTATGTAAACACGGTACTCATTTAACCTCACATTATTACACATGGGAATTATTTTAAAAAATTGTTACATCTGTAAAAAATCGCCCTAAAGTTGAATCTACCTGCACCTTTAAGGCAAGGTTGCATCCTAAGGCCTATTCTAAAGGCTCTGAAAGCAACGGAGTTGCTTATAAGTGCGAAGTGGGGTGGGAGGAAAGGAACTAGAGAAAAACGGCAAACCCTTGAAGAGACCTGCACATATGGCAATGTGAATTTAAAACCTCTTTAACCTACGAATTTACAAAAGCAAAATGGCAGGACTGACAAATTTGGGAGGTAAGTCCTCCCAAACTAATTCTGGAGTTGCAGACTCTTCCGTCAGGTAAACACTGTGGGATCGGGCTGCGCAGGGGCTGCGTAGGCCACCGCGTCTCAGCTCTGCGGTGACAGCGGAGAGCAGCCGTGAACGCCACCCAAATGGGCAGGGTGGCCCTGTCCCACCATCGCTCTCTCTGCACACATGGGCAGCCTCCCGCGTGTGGCTGAGGGCTGTGGTGTGTTGGTCCCCTGTCTAATTCATAGTCCTGGAGATGCACTTTGCTCACGGACACCCTCTCAAATTTAGGGGTGAACCTGACTGAACTGCTTGTGGCCCCTTTTCTCAATCGCAGGAACCACAACACTTCACTATTTTGCACTCTTTCCCGTGTGGCGTAGGTGAAGAGCCCCGTTTCCAAAGACTGACTGCAGTAAGGACGTGGCTGTTCCTTGAACAAGTACGGACACAGATGAGGGGGCCTCGGAGGGAGAGGAAAACCCCATCTGCTGCGTCTGAGAAAAGTAAAGCTCCCAGGATTCCACCTCGTTCTCAGGATGACATGCCTTTCCATTGTGAGTAAGAATTCTGTCTTTGTTCAATTTAAATCCCTTTCCATTATCCATTGCTTTCATTTCTTTAAATTAGATCTTCTAGTCAAACAAAATGTGATTTTTACCAGTTAAAAGAAACAAAATCAGTGTCCAGTAACAGCTCACACTTTCGAAAAGTTATTTCTTGACTAAAGACTATTCAGCTATTAAGGATGAAGTTTCCTATTTTTCTCTTCAGCCAGACCACTTCCAACCAAGGCCAAATTCCAACTATGAAGTTCAGAAGGAAATCGTTCATTTCTATCGTCAAACCATCTTTGGGAAGCCCTGTCACTGATGTGGAGGGAACTGGCAACATTAAAAAAATACCCCAAAACAAAATACCACAAAAACTTTCCTTAATTGCCAGCTCCCTTCTTTTCCCATCTTTACCCTTTAGTAATTTATTTTTACATATTCAAAATTAGATTTAATGCTCAGAGTGGTCCGATGAAATGGCCTGGGGGTGGTCTGTAACTGACATGAAATAAAACGCAACTTAGTTCAGAGGTAAATATGGTTCTGAGGAGAGAGAAGAGGTCATTAGAAAGAGCCTTTCTGCCTAAGTACAGTGCCACTGCTCATGCCAACGCTGTCCTTTAGCCGGTACCAGAGTTCACAGGAGAGAAAGTGCCTCTTAGAAGGAAAGTAGGTTAGTATATTACCATTTCTCTTCTTTTGCTGAGCATGTTGGGTAGCTCCTTTGCTATGAAGTGCCACTCAGTGAATGAACAGTCCCAGTGTTTGCTATTTCTTGGCATTAAAGTACTTAACCATGACTTAGCTCTCATTGCTAATGCAGTTCCCTTCCCAAGGTGACATGTGCAAGTCAAGATTTGGTAACGAATTTTCAGCATCAATTAGCTAAAGTCCATTTAGTACACCCTTAAGAGAGGTATCCTCTGTGCACATAACAATATAGCTATTCATTAGTGTAGATAGAACACTACTGACTCCTACAGGGATGTTAGCTAGAAACTAGGACGACGTCACAGTGAACCTGGAGAAGAATCCTGGGTAGTCGTTCAGAATAGCGGTATCTCTTCTAGCTAAGACGGGAGAATTGCTTTCGGAAACTTGAGTCTGTTCAACAGCTAGCCTGGCTGGGAGCTTCACGAATGTCACGGCTCTGGGCTGGACCAACGAGGAGGAGAGAACCAGCACACGCGGTGGTGCGAAAGGGTCCCGCACCACCTGGAAGCACTCTTTTCACAGTACCGACACGGCAAAGGCTGTCAGGAGTGAACACGAGGGGCGGGGGCCCACCAGACACGCACGGCATTTCCACGTCCACTCGGCAGCCCCAGCTCCCTCTGAAGTGTTTGCTGCCAGCCCCGGGCGGAGTGCTGGCTGATGCCGCAAAGCTTCTCTTTACAGAAGTTACTGCACTTCACCGTTACAATTTGGTAATAGTTTTAAAAGCTCCACTTTCTCACACAAAATCTAAGAAACTGACAAAGCATTAAAGAACTTTCCAGCATACTACTTCTCAGAAGTAGGATGGATGGACTTAATATTTTTTTGGCAGGCTTAAAAACTCCATCTAAAGCAGGACATCCCGTACTTCTCACCTATTGAGCAATGGCAAGATCTGCCCACTGGAAGCCTTGACGACCAGCTGAAATGTTCCCCTAAAGATCTGCATCTAACTTCCACTCCACGTTTTCCAGGCCACACAGCCTCGCTGGTCCCTAGCACAGTCCTGGGCAAGAGTTCTTCCCCCTCATGCTTGATGCCTGGCTAAAGAGGATAATGTCCCAGTCTGTCTTCTAAAGAAAAAATTCAGCTTCAACACTACGTTTAAGGGTAGGCTCTTAGCAAATGATAGTATGATTACATTTCTATTGAAAGACACATTTCTGTTTTTCCAGAAGAGACAAAATCACCCTTCTCCAGCGATACAGTGCAGCTGTGTGTGTATGTACAATTCTCGGAGTGCTCAAGTTACCCTTTGCATTCTAACATCCCAGCGTCAAAGAAACGGCATCATTACCCGCCTCTCCCCGCTCCCAGTACACAAAGCGTTCTCAGGAGGGGGCGCACCACTATGGCTGGCTCACAGACGGCCCCCCAGTGCAGGCAGGACCAGCCCTCTCCCAAATCTCTGTTACAATCGCCCATGTCTCTGCACCCAAACAGCTGCTTAAACTGCCACACATTTCAATACTCTTGGCAACGTAACGATGATTAGGAGAAGCTAGAGATTGTTCTTTCTTACCTGCACCGTGAGCATCTACTTGCCTGCACCCCTCACCGACCCCCCCTCACTGTGCACGCACAGCAGGGCATCTGAAGCTCTACACGTTTGGTAAATTCTTTCCGACTCGGTGCTGGATTAAGAATCTCGGAATTACCAAAAAGGTCTCTTGAAGTTTTAAAAAAATCTCAGGAATGATTAAGGAACCAAACCTGATCAAAAGTGATGCCTTGGTCAGGTTATTGCAACACGACTGTGCCCGATGCTGTCTGGGAAATGCCCTGTGCTGTATTATCACAAAGCGAAGCTCTTGGAGCCACCAGCAGCTTGCTGATGGTTGGTTTTTCATGAGTTCCTAGGCTTGCAGACACGAGACACGGATTTAGTGAGGTTCTTCTAGTGCACTGAGAATACAAACTATCGCTTACGAAGAAGGAAATGGAACTGTGGTCGCAATGAGAACCATAGTGTTGAATTTCTTCAATCACAATACTGCAGGAAAAAAACGTGTTTAAAACTTCATATAAAAGTTATCAAATAGGGAGACCTGTGGATTTAAAAATACAATCCAGGCTCATTTCACCGGAAAGTGGCGTTTCTGATGCGTACTATTGCTGTTGGGTGAAACTGGGAGCCGAGGAGACTGGGTGAGACTTTGGTAGTCAGAATTCACCTAACACGTGAATTCATCTGGACCGAGAGCCACTTCCTAATCCCCAGAGATGCGCGAGCGCTGTGGCTGCAGCAGGCTCTCTACTGCTCCACGTTGGCAAACCCCAAACTCCCTCCCCTGCTCCCCTCGCCTCCACCCAGCCCCCAGGCCCCCGAGCCTAGTGGTACCTATTGCGATCACTTGCTGTCACTTCCCTTCCAGCTGCCTAAAGTGCTTCAGGGGACGCTGCCCCAGAACGCCGCCCCGGGATGGCTGTTTCAGGCAACAAGCCAGCACCTCCCGGGTGCCCGGTCAGGGCGAAGATAAGGTCTAACCTTGCAAAACAGTAAGAAGCACCAGGATACTGTTTTTCCCCCTTGACACGTGAAACTGCATGTTCCAGCGGGAAGGGAGAAAAGTCCCTCATCACCACCACTGTGGTAACTTCCTTCTTTCCTGTGGTTGGCTGGTTCCGATGACCAAGGCTCCTGCTGTGTTTTTGAGATCTGGGCAAGTGACAGCCAGGATGACATGGACCGAAAGTACAGTGTTCAAACGTGACTGGTAGATAAATGACCATTTATCATGGTTAAAACTTTTCTCTTTTATAAAGTTAACAAACCAAGGCTGTTGATCCCTGAATTAGAAAGTTGATTTGCTTGATTATTTTCCAAAGTGTGGGGTGGGAAGGAGGAGGGAAAAGCCTCTAGTGCTTTTGTGTATGTTGCTGATCCTCTAGTTTGGCAACATCTTGGGAGCATCTTCCGACCTAGTGACGTGGCATTTTGTGAATCGAAGTACCAGCCCACGGCTCTGATGCTGGCTGCTTACGGCCCAGAGGGGAAGAGGGTCTGCCCCCTCCCCCTCGACGTTTCAATCTGGCCCAGTGGTGGACACGGAGCCCTGGGCCGCTTCCCCGGGGGCAACCGTCTCTTCTTGGGAAGGTGACTCTTCCTCAGCTTGTCCTCGAGATGTGACAGTCGTCTCCGGGGAGATGCTGTGGGGCCCCTCCAGCGGTATACAGCCGGGGTGGTTTTTGCGAAAGTGCTGATTCAAGATGGCCTGGAAGGGGAAGCTCTTGCCACAAACGTGACAGTGAAAGGGCTTGTTGCCTGTGTGCTTGCGGATGTGATACTCCAGCTGATCTTTGCGGGTGTACTTCTTGCCACACATGCGACAGACGAACGGTGTGATCCCCATGTGCAGGCGCATGTGCCGGTCCAGGCTCCCCTTCTGGTTGAATGATTTGGCGCAGTAGATGCAGGTGAGACGGGGGTTGTACCGGAACCACCGCTCAGATACTTCCTGCTCTCGGAGATACTCCACATAGCCGCTTACTCCCATCATGGCTGACTCTTCCACCTGTGCCAGGTGAGGGGCAAGCACAGAAATAAGCATGTATTTCTAAATATGTACTATGAAAGACAGAGTAAAAGAAATCAAATCGACTTTTATTTCTGTTACTAAGCTTTATGCTTATTTTGAGTAGAGATCCAAACAGAAGATTACTACCAAAAAGTAGCGATGTTAACAAAACAACAACAAAAATCCGAGGACAGGGTATTTCATTGCCACAACAGAACAAGACAGCAGAGTTACTCTGTGGCTGCATGCTCACAAACGGCAGGCTTCTTCTGAAAACCACGCTCAACATTCTCTTTTACAGCAACGGGAGAGTCGGAGCCCGCTCGTCCCATCCTCCTGGACTCTGACCTCGTTATGCCCGGGCGGCCCGGCAGGTGCCTGGACAGTGCTGGTCCAGCTGAACTTCCTGTGGTGACGGAACTGTTCCTTTATCCGCACCATCTAATGCAGGGGCCAGCAGCCACATGCGGCTACTAGGCATTTGTAGTATGCTAATGCGATTGAGAAACTGAATTTTTTATTTAAATTGCTTTCGATTCATTAACATTTAAAGAGCCACATGGGACCTGGCTAGTGGCTATTATACTGGCAGTACAGAATACATTACGGCAAGCGCAGTATAAATTACACTTAACAGCAAACTTACACTTATCCCAGAAATAAATTACACTCACACCAAAATTTAACCCAACAGTACCTAGCTTTATAAAAACGTAAATACTTTGTAGGTGACAGTATTGCTTTTTATCCCAAAGTATTTTACTACTAAAAGTATTAGTACTAAAACACTAACTTTGTCCTGCAGACTACTCAAAGTTTAACTGACCCTACAGCCAAGGGGCGGCAGAGCTGGGAAAGCAAACTGGACCGAGCTGTGAATTTACTGACTGGGTCATTCCCTCCTGTGAGCCTTTGGGAAAGTAGTCTTCAGTAAGTATTCACTGACGCTGTCCACCGAATACAGTGACAGGTGCCACGGAGGAAGGAGGGCAAGACCTGGTTTCTGGCTGTGCTCTCTGAAGACGAGACTCTGAACAAAGTGGACAGAGAGAAACGGGGAGACATAACACACACTCCTCGTGACGCTGACAGTTCACTCTTCCAGCTGCTTGTGCTAAAGGGAAGTGTCCTGGGGGTACAGTGCGCAGACACGGTGTCATCTGATTTTACGTATCTGTTATCTGTAGTGCATTTGAATGGACTTAGACTAGAAGTAAATAATCTGTGACTTATATACTATTTCTCTAACCTTAGTTTATAAAGTATCCGCCCAGCCTAAGTTAAATTTCTAACTGTGATAATAAATTTACTTAAGATTGATTATTATAAAAGCAGCATTAGAATTCTGCTGTTGTTAATTAGATAACTAACCCTTTAAGTTATTGCAAAATAAACCCTGTCTTTTTTCTCTGACTTACTTTATGAAGGTCACATGAATTAAGGTAATTTCTTAATATCAAGGACAGAAGACCTTAATTTTGTTTTACCTGTTCTGACCATTAACAATTTCAACAGCCACATATTTAGTACATGAGAGAAACACGGGTGCCCCTTTCTGAAAGCTGGGAGTGCAAATACAATATTCCTTTGAATGGATAACTTAAAACTGTTGGATTTATAAATGCTTTGATTCAAAATTCATATTAAAATATCATCATTCAGTATTGATATAAATTATGTCCACGCTTTGAGTGAAAAGCTTATACATGTATATAACATACGTAGAAGAAATTATATATGTTTAGCAGAGGCTGAAGTATCGATGCAACAGGGAAAAATGTGAAAGCTGACTCTGGATTAACTGGAGAGTCATTTGATTAGCAATTAATCTTGTGCCCTTTTCTTGCAAGTCTGAAGCTGGGCTCTGCCTCCTCACGTGCTGGCGGACAACGCTCCCCGGCGTCTCCAGCAGGACGGGGCAGCTCTCGGCGGGCTTGGGAGGCAGCAGGCGAAGCCCCGCATTAAACAGTGAGACTGTGGTTTTACGTGATTTCCGGTGTTTTAGACAACTTCTCTCTCCGCTTCCACTCCCAGGATACCAGGAATGGAACTCCCAGGAAGAGGGAGCGGTGATCCCACTAAAAGGCCCTGGGTGACCACGCACAAGGGGGCACCACCGCTTGTCTGAGGCTGTTTTCCCTCCGTGAAACGAAAGGGTAGCAAAGGCTCTGCTGGACCCTGGTTCGAACCTGCGTCCTACCGACTGTGTGACCTTGAGCAAGGTACTGAACTACTCCGTGGGGCAGTCCTTCATCTTTAAAATGAGTATAATAGCGTGTAGCTCAGAAGTTGCCAGGAGCACTGAATGAGTTAAAGTGCTTAATGAGGCCCAGTCAATGTTAACTGTTACTAAACATTACAAACCATATTATTCATAATCTGGAGAGTATCAATTCCCTAAAGCAAGCAAACAAACAAACCCTGCCTAATTCTAAGGAAAACGACGTCCTAATGTAACGCCAGGACGGTCCACGAGCAGAAAATACATACAGGGTCCGGCACGAAGAATGCCCTTTTCAAATCACAAAATCCTAAGCATGTCATTCTGTAACATAACAGTATCACACTCAAGCACCCCATATGACATTTTAGGTGAAGTGTTCCAATTGCTGTCCATCTGGTGTGAGACATTCAGTACCCTACCAACCACGCTCAAGCAGGCCTTCCTTCGGCCAGACCCTGTGTGTTTTAGTTATCGGTGATGAACTAGAATCACAGAACTGGAACATTATGATCAATCTCACCTAAAAAATTAGTCAAGTTGCAATAAAATAGCAAATGAATGAGCATAAAGTGTAGATTAGGCCCTTGTCAATGGCAACAATATCTTCAGTAGTTTCATTTTAACAGGGAGCAAGCACCGACGCGGCTGCTCCCTGGCTCTCTCTGACCCCGGGGTGGGGGTGGGGTCCTGCCACCACTCCCCCCACTCCCCGCTCTGCCTTGGCCATTCCCTCCTAGACTGTACACTCTGTGAGCCCAGGGACAGCTGCAGAACGTCCCAGACTCGAGCAGTGCTTGCTATGTCGTTATGTTCAAGAACTATGTGTTAAATAAATTATTCTATAATTCATAAATTCCATGTAAATAAATGATTGCTTTTATGTTCCGAAACAAATAGCTGTCTAGATTCTTGACATGGCCTCCAACGCTGTCCACCCTCCTAATCTTCAAACACCAACCAGAGACTCAAAGACTTGAAAGAACTTCAGAAATCATGTGATTTAGTTCATTAATTTTATTTAAAGATCTCTCTCCAAAACTGGGGATTTCACAGGCAACTAAGTAATCCCCTATTTACTGGGCACCCACTTGGTAACCTTAGCGACTCAGATTACTTAGTGGTTAACTCCTTTTGCGGGATGCACAGGAGAAGACAAGGTCAGATACAAAAATTAAGACAGTGGACTCTGCTCTTGAGGTGATTTCAGTCTAGATGGAGACACAAAAGTAATGCAAATAAAAAAAGAAAGAAAGATTGCATCGTACCATCTGCAAACCATTGTAAACATACCACGCGTGAGCGCTACCATGGTTTGGGGGGAGACAGAGGACCGGGCAGTTAGGGCAGACGGCTCTAGGAGTTGGGGCTGCGGGGGGTGCAGATGCCTGGGAAGAACAGGGCATCCTCGACTGAAGGGGCAGAGGAGCTGGTCTGACGAGGTCCCAACAGGGAAAGTCTGCCTGTTGGGGCGGGCAGTGCATGCTGACGAGTGGTGAGAAAGCTGTGTTAGAAAGGTTATGAATTACTTGGAACTTTAGGCCATGTATTTTACCCTTCACGTGGTAGAAAGAGGGGAAAAGCTACAGAATGTTTTGAGTGAAGAGGGGGCCTCAGTAGTCGGTTCCACTACAATCACCCTTATAAGCAGGAAGCTCTTCAAGTCTATCGAAATTTGTTCTCACTGTCATGAAGTCCATGTCCTGCTTTGGTTCTGTGATGGGGAAAAGAGTCTACTCAGCTCCAAAACAAATTCTCATGCACGTTAGGGTATACATGCACTCTTAGTATCATCTCCAGGCAATTACTTCTGTTCTGTTTCTTTATAGCTGCACGTTCTGCTACAGCCAGGCACACAGCCTTGCAGAATTCCAGCTGTCATCCCCATCACATCTACACAGGGAGTGAGTTACCCTTCCTAACTACTTCATTACGTACTGCATTTAAACTCTCCCGAATAACGACTTTCCTTAAGTGGTTATTGATTCCAGTTAATTGCCTTGTAAGCGCTTCCTATTCCCTCCGCCCTGTCACCGAAGCCTACACAGTCCCATCTACACCTGCCTTGTGTGTCTGTGGGGCTGCCTCGTGCCCCCGTTCAGTTGTACCGTCTGTCTCCTTGTATTTGTTTGCGTAACAGTCACCTGCACACAGTCATCGCACCCTATTTGAAAGACGAGGAGAAAAAGGGCCCTAATTATATCCCTAAGCTTACTTTTCCTCCAAAGCTCCTAACATTTTCTCTAACACCTTATTAAAACTATAAAAATTCTTGTAATAATTACAATTCCTTTCCTGGTACCAAAAATCTGCTGTGATTAATATGCAAGTAAAAATAGTTTGGTAACAATGTCTCGCTGCTGTTACTATACCAGTACATCCGATGTTTAGGTAAAAACCAAACAAGGTACTATCAGCATAAGGCGGAAGCTGCAAAGATGAGCTGTGCAATGCAACCTCATCAACCAGCGGTTCCTTTGAAAGGACCCAAGTATTTGCAATGTGTTGTGTTCTACTTGGTGAGTTCACCATCCTTCTAAAAACCAGTCTTCCGTGACAGAGACCCGTGAGGGAAAGCCAACAGAACTACCAACCAACTACTTACGCTACTTGTTGAGGGCAGTTGCAAAGAAAATAGAAGGCATACTTCCTGTCCTTTCTAGAACATTTTAGTTAAACAAAATATTCAGGAACAAAAACAAATGAAAAGATACAAGCATATAAAAACGCAGAAGCAATTGCTCACAATATGTAACATCCCACAGAGTAGTGATTATGTAGCAACAGCCCACCCACACACAGAATCAGACTTTCTCCAGCCCAGGTCCTACCTTGCCTGCACGCAGTTGTCAGGGGTTACTTTTTTATTTCTACTACAAGGATTACAGACCGGTTCAGAAGGAGCTCCACAGTCTCATCTTTTCTACTTCCCAAACTCTGCTGACACCAAAAGTGTATTTCTTGCATGCTTATAAATAAGAATTAAAAAAAAAAGTAATCAAACAGAGCATTTATTTAACAGGCCACCGTCCCCTCTCCTACATCTTTCCATTCAGACGCCCACACAGTGGCGATTTTCCTCGGCGGCCGCAGCGACGTACCTGGGAGCTGGGCTGCTTGGGCTCGTCCGTCCTCCCGGGAGACTCACTTCGGGCTCTGTGTCTCTCCGCCAAGGGGACGACACTGCCGGAGGGGCTAAACCTGTGGGAAGAGGAGCAAAAAGGGGGCTGATAGGAAAGTGGCGTCAAGGCACTTAAGTCACGGTGACGTCCGTCCTCTGTGTCCGGCGGCTGAGGAAGGGGAGCTAACTGAACACCAGATGACCAGGACACGCTCTGAGGGAGTCAACACACAGGAGTCTGGGTTGAAGTAAGACAAGAAAAGTTTGCCGTAGCAAACTGAATAAGTACAAAATGAGCCCTGGCTGGTGTGGCTCAGTGGACTGAGTGCCAGCCTGAGAACCAAAGGGTTACCAGTTCGATTCCCAGTCAGGGCACATGCCCGGGTTGTTGGCCAGGTCCTCAGTGGCGGACACATATTGATGTTTCTCTCTCTTTTGCCCTCCCCTCCCCTCTCTCTAAAGATGAATAAATAAAATCTTTAAAAAAAAAAGAAAAAGAAATACAAAATGACACAGCAAGGAGACCCCGTGAAGCCAAGGTTAAATCTAAGTTCTATCCTTATGTAAGTATTGGGAAACCATAACAAAATAAAACTGGGTCTGTAATTTTGTTTCTTCTATGTAACTGTTGGGTTTTTGGTTTTTCCTTCCCCAGGCCCCGGGGAAAACTTGTTATATACCAGTATTTCAGACTGTTGGTAATAGACAAAGAGATTCAAAGTCTTTGCATTTAAGTGATTACTTCTCTTTATAAAAAGCTATTTATTTATTTACTTATTTATTTATTTATTTATTTTCAGACAGAGGGGAAGGGAGGGAGAAAAGAGTGGAAGAGAAACATCGATCAGTTGCTTCTCCTAAGCACCAGACTGGGCCCGAACCTGCAACCCAAGCATGTGCCCTGACGGGGGATTGAACTGGCAGCCCTTCGCTTTGCTGGGAGATGCTCAAGCAACTGAGCCACAGGGTCAGGGCGGCTATAATTTCTGATACAGCGCCAACACCGTGGGGCAGTAAGTACTGGGCTCAGGGGTGCGTTAGCTGTCACTCGGACTGGTTTCCCTCGCGTGTCCATGTTTCTCTCCCTCTCGTTCTCCCTCCCTTCCCCTCTCTCTAAAAACAAATAAATAAAGTCTTTAAAAAAAGAGTATGTTTACTGTTAAGAACACAGGAAGGAAAACACTCAAACCAAGGCCGCCTGAAGTGGACACAGCACGTACTTTCTGAGTCTGCAGCGCCTGTCTCTCAAGACTAGGTGCTAACCAAACGAATAGCTGCTTTAGTATTCACTGTGGGCGCAGTCAATCTTAATTGATTTTCAGGAGAGAAAACAAATACTGCCACTCTAAGTTGGCAATATTTCTTTCTTTCAGTTGAGACTTCCGGTGTCCTTGGATGCAAACTATTGCTATTTCCACCCAAGAAGAAAGGCTCTTGCTGCGAGTAGACAGAGGAAAGGTGGGCGTGGGACCCAGTCGCGTGGTGGAAACACTAGGCCTGTGGCGGCAGCTGTCACCGATGAAAGACACAGGGAAGACGCCACAGGAGAAGAGAAAAAAGGAATGAAAACCATCCCAAAAGCTTTTCCTTGGAATAGCTACTGTGGACACACTAATTTAAGAAGAACAATCACGGCTGGTGCCACGCCTCCTCTGCTATGGCAGGTGGGGGGCAAAGGGAACTGAACAGCTCTGCAAAGTACGACTCCTCCGAGACCAATGGCCTGGGTCCCGACACACCGAGGAATGGCAAGGCTGCTGGGCTGCGGGCTGCCGACCAGCCCCCTGCCTGGAGTTCCCAGGAAACCCTGCCAACTGCTGCCGCTAGTGGGTGCAGACGCTGTTCTGATTCATGCAAGTGTCTCCCCTTACCACAGTTCTCACAGCACTGAGTTCTCTGACACTAGGAGCTTCCTGCTTTAAAAAAACAAGAATGCAGTCTTTGGGCACACCTCGTTTCCCCAACATCAACTGCCTCTGGCTAAGAGCTTCAAGGAAGGGAGATGCTCTCTGCACACACGCAGAGGGGAGGGTTGGGTGGGCTAGGTGGACGAAGCATCAAAAACTCACCGGTCAATCTCACTGCTTGTTGGCCGAGCCACCTGGGCTCCTGACAGTCCTAAAGGGTAGCTGTCCTGTGCCATGGAGCCATGGCCTGTGGTGTCAATCACCATGGCTGTGACCTCCTCCGCACTGCTCCCGTCTTCCCCGGAAGGCTGGTTCTCGGGCCCCAGCCACTCCTCTAGATTTTCGGTTTTGATGTGGACTGCTCCCAGCACCCTCACGTCATCGTCGCTCCGGGCCCCTCGGTCTGCCACTCCTGTCTCCACGTACCACTGTCCCGCGCGGTTGATCCGGAGGATGGGCTCGCGGCTCTCCACGTCGGAACTGGGCTCAATTATCTGCGGGCTGGTGGACTCCTCGGGCGGGCTGAGCTCCCTGATGTCCAGCACGGCACTCACCTGACCTCGCCGGCTCCCCTTTGGGGGGTTCTGTCGCGGGCTAAGGGAGCGGTTTAGAGTTGGTGTGACCCTGTGAGACTCGGGGGGTCTCTCTGGATGCTTGGTCCTCGTTTGACTTAATTCCGCTTCGACCTCAGCCACGTTAATTTTGAAGTGGATGCCCTCCAGGATCTGGGTACACTTGTCTATGATGTGCTGCATTTGCAGAAAGCTGGCCGCCGTCAGGTAGCTGATGATATCCGCCAGCTGCAGGCATATCCTCCCCGTGTAGCAGAAAGAAAGGAGCTGTTCGAAGACCGTGGGGTTCTTGATGACTGAAATGGAGACAGTACTCATCTCGTTCAAGGACATGTGATCCCGGAAATAGGGGGAGCTGGCGGCCAGTACTACTTTGTGAGCCCGAAAAGCTTGGCCTTGCACATTGACCACGATGTCACAGAGCCGGCCCTGCATGCGCAGCTGGTTGAGGTGGCTCAGGACAGAGTTGCTGAAGTCAGGGATCTCCAGTTGAATGTTGCCACCCTTCTCCATGGTGGGGCCTGAGGGTGTCGGCAGGCATTCAACCCTGCTGGAAAAAGAAACCACATTCTCATTAACAATTAGAACTGCACTCCCCTAGTGCTTTCGTGTTCAAACCTACTTGAAAACATCATTTGGCAAAATTTCAAAATCTCCCAGTAAAAAGACACCCGCCTCATGTTTAGATATGGACTAGAAGTACTCACAGGTCTTTCAGTTTAAAATCAAAAAGTGATTGTCAGACTGCTAAAAGTTTAAGCTATCCCCATGCTTTCCTTACTAAAAAAGGATGCAGCATTAAAACAGAAGGTCAACAGAATAGAGGAGAAACACAGTTGTGTTTCTTAAAGTGTTAATCACAAGGTGTTTGCACTGAATATAAAGTCCTGTGACAACTTTTCCTTGGAGGAAATGAGTTTTTTGAGTAATGGTAATTACATACAGGTAGGTCAACTAGATATGCCTCTTAATGTTTTTCTACATGTTGTGTCAGCTTATTATTTTGTAAAGTCACTAATATCCCACAGGAATGTAAGCCATTATTTGTAAGTATAAGAGTCAGAGCCCCCACGAAGAGGCTTAGAGTTCAGGACTCTTGAGCACAGGACCCAATCGCAATGCAGAGAAGTTGAAGTTCACTCTCAGAATTAGGAAAGGGTAGGTATACCCGATCCTATCTAAATTATCTAAATTCACACTTGGGAATTTCAGGGTGGTGATGATACTATGATTTGGAAATTTAGTTCCCCAAAGCTGGTAAAAAAAATAGGGCACTTACCAAGTACGGTTAATACTTTTACATTAGAATCTTTTTTAAAAAAATGGTGAAAACACTAAGCCTGTAATTGCATCCAAGAGCCTTCAGTGGTTGAGAGTAGTTTGCATGAACCCCAATAAGACACTGCCTTGAGCCCCATGTGTTTCCATTTATCTGTAAAGTTATGACATTGCATAGTTAGTTACCTAAGAAACTGCAGGAACTTCTGACAAGCTCACAGGGTCGCCCGGCATTCACCACACACTTATCAGTACAGAGGGAAGTGCACCCTGCTTTCAAGAACCAACTTGAGCCAATCTGACCTTTTTCCAAAGCGTTTTTGTTTGTTTGCAAACTTTTAATCCAGTAAGAGCCTCTGTCGATGCCATCCTGAATTCAGATGTGTTTATTTTGGCGCCTACACCAGCGCCTTTTTTGTGTGCTCTTTCCGGCAAAGCCCCAGTGAGGAGGAGACCCCTGGAGGAAGGTCCTTCTCTCCCGCCGGCACTGGAGGGTGAGAGCTGTAAGAGGAGGAATTGGGAACGCGTGGGGTCGCCCACTCCCGTACCTGAGTGGCTTCCGTGTGCGTTAGGAAGCGTGGGGACCGGGGGGCTGGCTGAGCCGCCAAATGTCACCGAGGAGCAGGGGGACAGGGAGAGAGGGCAGCAGCGGGTGGGGCCGGGAGCGGGCCTTCAGGTGCGGGACCGGACCGGGAAGGGGGCGGCGCCCCGGGACCCGGGCCAGTCAGGAGGTGTAGGCGGGCGGGGAGGTGCGAGGGGTGGGTGTGTGTGCCTGGGTGTGGCTGGCTGCGGTGGGGGAGGGGGCCGCCCATCCCGGGGTCCGGAGGGAGGGGCCAGGCAAGGGGGCGGGTCTGGCAGTTCCGCCCGGCCGGGGGCCAAAGGGGTGGAAGGTCTCTGGGTGCCTTGCGGTGGGGGTGAAGGGAAAAGACTGAGCACCCCAGGAGCAGGCTGCGGGAGGAGATCGGGCAGGGCAGCCCCAGGGCAGGACAGTGGGACGGTCGTGCGGGGCCCCAGCCCAGTCAAGGAGCAGCACCTACCTCCGGGGGTGGAAATGGGCCGGAATGGGCCGGAACACCGTCCCGGAAGTGAAACCCCCCGCCCCCTCCCCCAGAGCGGGCGACGTGCCGGAAGGAAATCACTCACCCTTACACCATCCCCCTTACCCCTCCCCCAGCACTTTCCTTCCCTCGCGCCCCCTCCCCTCTCTTGTCTTCCTCCTCGGTCGGTAGGAGGGTGGGAACCTTGCGTCACGCGGGCGATCGTGGCCCCGCCCACAATTCTAGGGGGCGTGGCCAAGGGCGGGCTTAGAGGCAGGAAAGGAGGTGTGGCTGGAGGCGGAGACTGAGGGAGGAGAGGGGGAGGGGCTCAGGCGGACGCTGGCAGGGCAAGTGCGTGCGTCATGACGTCACGGAAAGAAACCCTTATATACAGGTGCCTGGACGCCATCTCGGTCTTTCGCAGATGGAAGTCGGGTTTGGGTATGTGTGTCTTTGTTTACGGTTGCTAAGTGGGTTCTTGGCTCGAGCCCTCCAGGTCACTGCAACTAAGGTCGCTCTAAATTGCTTGGGACTTCCAGGCTAGTCGCAAGCCTTTGGAGGACCCACAGGATGAGGATTGTAGAGGATAGTGTGTTGGGTGTGGGCTCGACGTGAACTCAACAGTCGGGTTGTTGGGCCGAACTGCGGAAAAACCTCGGCTTGCGTGCCCTGCCTCTGATGAAGCTTATGTTGGTAGGGACATCTGAGACTGTTGATGAATGCCAACAGCTCTGATGGCGGCACATGCCGAGTCACCGAATGGGCCTGGGCCTCTGTTAATGACCTCGGCCGGAGCCACTTCCTCCTGGGAGGCGGGTAACTGGGCTAGTCCACGTGGTTCTCTTAAGTGGCTGCATTCTGCAGTGCACCGTTATTTACATAAGTCTTAATTTTAACTGCGATGCTGTCTTTATAAAACGTTAAGTGCACCCGTTACAGCTATGAAATAATGGGCGGTGGTGTAAACGACTTGCATAGGTGATAATAAAAGGACATAATTAGAAGAAAATAAACTAAACAACCAAATCTTTTTCCTAGGAATGTTGCTGGGCACGAGTGCCATGTGGCTTTGGATGGAGTCTGATGGACAGGTAGGATATGGGTAAATGCAGTGGGAAGCATGGAATTTGCTTAGATGAGACCTTTTTGTTAAGCCTATGATGGTTCAAGAGTAGTGGGCAGAAGGGATTTCTGAAAAACTTCATTCTGAGGCTTAAATATGTGTGAGGGTAATGTCGCACGTGGTTGCACAGTATGTGTCATTGGTGTCTTTTGTGTTTTCTAGTTCTGTGCCAAAGGAGGGAGAATGCCTGCTGTGGTGAGTTACCGAAGTTCCCTGACAAAGGAAGGTTGAAAGACCGCATGCGCGCGGTGTGCCACAATGATGACATTTTATTTGCTACTCTTGACTGGGAGGATGACGAGAAGTATTACCACCATTATCCTAACTGAGGCACGCCAAATGGTGATTGAGAGAAGAGAAAGATGCACCTAAGGTGACCTGAAATGAAACTTTCTTTGCAGGTCCTAAAGCACAAGCATCCCACCCTGGCCATGGGCAGACAGGTGAGAAACCTTTTCATAGTTCATGTTTGCCCAGTCCTTTTCGGTTCCTTTTCTAGGGGGTTACCGGTTGCCAAAACTGTGCTGATAAACTTAGGGCTTTCCTCTTTCCCTTTTCAAATGTGAACTTCTGCACTCTTGCTATTTCATGCTGGGTGACATCTGAAAACAGATACTATGATGTTCGCATAGTTCAGCAGATTGAGTCCTGAAGAGATGTACCATTTGTCTGATGTGTCTGGTATAAAATTTTTGCTGGTGACAGCGTAAGGAAAGTACCACTACTGATCTGGCTTCTTTTTGTAGGCCCTGAAAAGAACCAACTGGGAGTTGGGATGGTAAGTAAAATTATACCTTACATACGGGTAACTGGACAGATACGACAGTGCCGCCAGTGGCTTCCTAGGGGTGCCTTCCAGTGCACAGGAAGGACTCGCCATGGCGGGCCCAGGGCATTGTGCTACAGATTCTGGTCCTTTTACCGCTAAGACATCATGATTAGTCAAAGCAGCCTGCATGATGATAAGCAAATACTGACTGGACGTGAAGGTCTTGCTTATTAGCTCTACCTGATTTCGGGCATTTTTGTAGATTTGTGAGGGGAAAAGGCACTTTTAGCTGTTGTAAAACTGCCCTTATTTCTTTAGGTGGACTTGAGTCTTTGATATGTCTGGACCAGCTTTAATTCTTTCTGGTGAGTATTCAGTGCTTAAAAATATTCTAATTGGTTCAGAACTGTTACTGAGAATGCTGATAGAATGCGGTGCTTGACTAACAAGCTACTAATACTTGACATCTGGTGTTTGGCTAGTGAATGCATGCTATGCATGCTCTCTGGGGTTTTTGTAATGATGTCGATCAAATGTCTGACCTGAAATGAGCATGTAGACAGATTTAACACTGAAAAACCCTTCGACAGAGAACACTGAGCAGAGAACTTAATGGTATTAGCATTAATGAAAGATTGTCTTGTGTGCCTTCTAGCTGTTGGACACACGTTTTCCTCTGGATGGCACGCTTGGGGTAAGACATGCACCAGTTTTTGGCTTTGTTACTCAGATATATATTGTTGCTGAAATGTACTGGTCTTGGCAATTGTTAACTGTTAGTGATTTCTGGTGGTAAAAAGCCACGGGCAGTTTTAAGAAATAGTCTAAAGAAATACTTTGTTTTTCAGGTGCCAGTTTTGGAGACATTTAAAATAAAGGTAAGGTATTTTATTAATCTTAGCTAGTTACTAAGCAAGATGCTGTTGGTGATGATTTTTGAAATTAAAAACAGATGGGAATCTCTCTGAAAAAGAATGAAGTTCTCTTTAATAACTGAAACAGTACCTGGAAAGTTTTAGGAATTTGCCTATTACTACCTGTTCCTAAATCTGGGTATATTTCTGCAGGTGTGAAGAGTTAGCTCGTCGAGAAGGTGGCCCGGAACAAAGAATTTCAAGCACGAAGGTATGGTAGTTTCCAGTTTGGTTTCTGTGTTGGGTGGTTTCAAGCCGATACAATGATGATAACATAGTTCAGCAGACTCGCAGTGATGAACAGTACTGTCTTTCGCTCCTATCTGATGTATCCGGCTGCAATAATCATTTATAACCTCGAAGGGGAACCCACCATGATCTCAGAAAACGGTTCAGGGGTTTGGATAAGTGATGTCGTATAAATGTTCTCTGTGATATTATTTTAAGGAGTAAGAACTCATATTTGGAGAAGTGAAGGTTGATTAATTTTATGAAGAAATTTTTTAATAGATTTCTTTTTTTTAGAAAAGGGAGGAGAGAAACATTGATTTGTTGTTCCACTTATTTACTCATTCGTCAGTTAATGTATATGCCGAGGATTGAACCTGTGGCCTTGGCATACCAGGACGACATTCTAATCAACAGCTATCTGGCCAGGGCATTGTAAAAAAATTTATAGAATACGTACAAGTCTGGATTATACCAGAATTATTTAGCTGTTGTATTTTACTTCGTTAGATTTAATTTTCTACTTAGAGTCACAGCAAAATTGAGAGAAAGTGCAGAGCTCCCCTGTGCCCTGTAATTGCACACCTCACTGTCAGCATCCAACCGTCATATAGTGGGTCCTTTGTTAGACTTGCAAACCTATGAGGACACACTGTGACCATCCAGTCTGTAGCTTACGCCGGGGTCCACTCACTGTACTCTCTGGGTTTGGACAAACGTATGACACGTTCACCACCGTACTGTATAGAATAGGTCCGCTGCCCTAAGTGTTTTTCCAGACGTAATAACCGGGGCAGTTAGGTAGGGCACATTTCTAATGACCATTATGTTCTTCATCTCCAGGTAGACCTGTTCCCCTCCAGGAGGTTTCCAGGTGAGTTGGGCATGGGTCTAGTGATAACGTAGACTGTAACCAGTGATGTACTGATTCTGCCAAATGAACTAGAATGATATCACTCATGAAACCGTTCCATTTTGATTCTGAGGTTACTTGACTAACAAGCCCCACAGAAGCTTTTTCTGGTCACCACTAACACTTCATCTTTGCTTTCAGGCATTTATGACGGCGGGCAGGCGGCGGACTGGCCGGCTGAAAGGTAAGCCTGGAAAAGAGCAGTACCGTTTTATTCCAGAATACATGATGATCTACCCCACCTTGAACTCTCTCACTGATTCCTTGATGAATATAAAAGATCTGATATTCTGTGTACTTCAGATGCCACGAGAACTGAAATGTGGAAGTGTGACTAAAAATGGCCATTTTCTTGCAGGCGGCTGGATGGATGCCCGTGAGGTAGAAGATCAAATAACTGAATTTTAATAAAACTTGATGGGTAAACTGTCTGATCAAGTCTGCTTATTTCGACTTAATGGGATGAAGGGAAGAAAATAGGACAGCTTTGTACGTTCGACCCCCTGGCTGCCCCAGTTTCACCCAGAAGACACGAGGTGTGTCCATGTGTATTTTCCGTGATGTCTTAGGTTTGAAAGTGCAGTTTGTACTAAGGAGTAAGCTCCAGGCCTTCCTCAGTGGCCTCAAGTGTTCAGAGTGGGCCATTGTGTTTGTGCAGATCAAATTGCAAAGAAAAGCAGGTGCTGTTAACTGATGCCAACCAGATGTGGGAACTGCAGGAGCTAGAACCTCACATTTGCTTCTAGGCACCGTGGTGCTGGGCCTCTGGCTAAAACTGATGTGTAAGGTGAAGGGACTGGCTGTCTCAGGGGCGGATCACCCCCAAAAGATGCGTATTAGAAAAAATCCTGATGAATAATGGCTAAATGGGTAATAACCTGGCTAAAAATAAGTGGGGAACATTAAATTTTTTGAGGCCATTTGGGGCTGTGGTTATGAAAATGTCCTTGTGTTCAGAAAATGAGAGAACAGATTTTGCAAATAAAGTTCTGGAGACATGTATTTAGGCATATGAGAAGATTAACCAAGGGGGTTACCAGACACTTCTCAAAAAAAAAAACCCCAAAAACAAACCATTAACTTGGGCTTCTGACAGCATTGAAATGCCAAATGACAGCTCACTTCCTAATGTTGCCCTTGGAGCATTGGGTTGCAGTTTCTCTTGGGACTTCCTGCTGGATAACTTAAAAGTTGTAGAAACTGCAAATCTGAATCAGGATAAAGGTGGGCACTCCTTTTCTCCAAATAAAGAAAGGGTGCTGTTAAGGTGATACTTTGAGGGTGTGAGGAAATACTTCAAGCTGTTAACCCCAGCCACACTGACACCTGTCCTTGGAAGTTACTTGGACTTGATGCTTGTTACTCTGCGGGACGGTTCAAGTATCCACATTACTTGTGGCTCCTGGTCCCCACCTAAATGTCCTCCCACGGGCCCTGAGGCCCTGTGTGAAATGGGACCATCCCCACTAGCTCTTAAAACCTTAAATTACTCATGTTCTCACCTACTGGAATGGAAACCACAAAAGGTGTTTGTTGTGTTGCAGTGTTTCCAAGCCTGTCAATCAGGATGGGGTTACAGTGTTAAGAATTCGGTGTGATCAGGTGAAATCTTGGAGAAGGCTTTTGGTGATTGGTTGCTGAAAGGCTGAAGATCAAATACCCTGATTTTGAAATTGGGATAGAGGAAGCTGAAAGCTGTTAGGGGACGGGAAGAAAGGGCCATGGCCACTGGAGACTACATACATGGAGGAATATTAGTCTTGGTCCGAAGAGCCCTGGTGGTGTACAGGGGAAGCCAGTTTGCTGGAAGATGGGGAGGCTTTATGGAGCACACACCCCGTGTCCAGTAGAGGGACTGGACTCCAGCTAGTGTGACCTTAGGACCGTGGGAAGTTGGGCTACAGTGTTGGGTGTGCCCTCAGATTCTAGGGCCCTGTAATTTCTGTAACCTGGCTGTGTGTGGGAAGGTGGTATTACAGCCCCGGTAACTGGTGTGAATCCCAGACACCATCACTGAAAAACGCCACCCATTCATTAAGGGAGCTCTCCTGTAATTCATATGAAGAATAAATAGTCAAAGTCGGTGAAAGTGAAAGCGTTTTATGGAAAAAAATGGACTTTTTGGCTAGGCCAATGAATGTGATAACCCTTTATACAGCATCACATTGTGGCATTTCAGCCATTAGATCTCGAACTTGCGTCGGCGTCATTTCGGTGGCTCGTGTGGCAGTGGGAGGTGCCCATGGAACACTGGGGCCATGACCCGCAGTGGTGTTCTTCTGGGGAAGCCGTGTGCGGAGTCTGAGTCAGCCGAGCTGCCAGCTTTTCCCGTGGACCGCCACCTTCACTCGAGAAAGTTAGGATTGTCTGTATTTGGGTACTTGGCAGATATTTTCTCAAGAAATGAACAAGTACGTGTGGGAAAAACTGATGGTATTTGTTGCCAGTGATAAAATTCAAGCTTCAACGGAAAATGGGAATTTTGGAAAGCTTGCATCTGTCAGTGAGCCCACGGCTCCTCCATCGTTAAGGCTTTTGTAGTGAGCTCAGTGGCGATACTAACAAATGTGGTTTTTTTAAGGATTGGATGATGAAATGTGGCGACTTCGGGAAGGCTGGCATAACTCAGTGGGCTACTAAGTTCCAAATGATGAGTGTTTGGTGTTACAAAATTACTCCGAAGTAAAAGTTATGTTCAGAATATGAGAAGGGCCAGAAGACTTTTGGCAGAGTTCATTTATGATTCAGGTTCCTCTTGGCAAGTAACCTGTGTAGTGTCAAGGAAGAACATCCATAACTACCAGAAAAGGCTATTAAAATCTGCTTCCTTTTTCAACTTTGTATGTGTGAAGCCAGATTTTCTTTATACATTTCAACCAAAACAATCACAGCAGATGGAATGCAGCAGAGATGAGGACCCAGTGTCTTTTAAGCCAGACCTCAAAAAGATGAAATGTAAAACAATGTCACTCTTCAAATTTTTGTTTGTATCTTTTCTAGTAAGAGAATAACTTTTTAAATAAAAATATACTAGTTGTTCATGTATTAATAAGTACTTTAAGAAACCTGAATCCCTACTATAGCAGTGGACCTCTGGACAGCTCTTTGGGACCCCCCAATTTTTAAAGGCCACAGGGAGGCCTGAGACCAAAACTCTTGAGAACCGTGACTACAGCGGAAGACACAGGAGCCCAGAGAGGTTGAGCGATGGGACCAAGGCTGTGTAGCTAGAGGGAGGTAACGCCAGTCATTAAAGCCAGGCATCTCCAGGTCACACGAGTTTCTTTGGCTGAGTTTGATATCTAACGTTTTTATTGTTAGGTAAAATAGTTTTACCTGGTTATTGCTCATGAGGAACTCCCTTCTGAGAAAAAAGTATCCTTAAGGTGAGTCTGAACAAAAAAGCAACAAGGAAGGTGAGCATTGTCAGGGTTCCGGTTCCTCAGAGGGGAATTCTGGGAGAAGACAGCGGCTGTATAGCTGCGCTGTGTTACTCGCCCAAAGCCCAAGAGCATGAGACAGCCCCATCAGACTCATCACCTGACACACCTTCCCAAAGAGGAGAATTTGTTTCCAGGGCAAAGCTCTCTTGAAGCCAGTAACTATCCGTGTTGTAGCTGGCAGTTGCTTGCCTTGTTTTTAATACTTGCAACATAAGATAAATCTAAATTGCCTAGGAGGTTGCGGATTGGATTTGAAATCAAATATTTAAACTTTTACTCCACCTCAGTGATGAAGATCTAAAATAGTGATGTTTCCCTGGATTTCAGAATAAACTTTTTTTCCTTCCAACAGGCAGGACTGAAGAGTGCTGTGCCCCATGAACTGGGTCTCTGAGATGCTGACGCAGGACAGTTGGACTTCTGGGGGCCCGGGGCCTTTGGTTATTTGTAGCCTAGAAAACACCCTACAGATGTGGGGTGTCTTCTGTCACTCATGTCAGCATAGGAAGACAATATTTTTATCAGAAGGAGGCTCTACACAGTGACTAATGAATTTATTACGTTTAGAAATTGGGTAGTGTGTATGTGGGATAAGTGGATGTAAAATTGCATTTTCCTACCCAATAAAGGGCCTCTCTAGAAAGCACAGGCAGAGATGGACAGCCCTTCTTACCAGGACAACCTGCCAGCCAGGATTTTCCGGCTCCAGGGTCCACCCCCAGCTGGGGAGCGACTGGGAAGGACCAACTTGAGGGGAACACACCACCTAACGGGGGGCAGCTGTCTGCAGGGCTGGAGGGCCCTGACGCTCTGCACAGCCCGCTGAGCAGCAGAAACCAGACCTGGAAGTGAAGCGCTTTTACTTTCGAAGAGAAGATTATAGTATCGCGTGGCTTGGGGCCCTGAGAAAAGGAGGCGGGGGCAGAGGCCAAAACTCGATGTTGCCACGTTACAAACCAAGACGGTCGAAGCACAAGTGAAGATAATGGAGAGAAGAACAATCTCCTTCATCAAGGCCTGGTTCCTATTTTATGTTTATTAACTGTAAGCTTTTATTTGGGTCAACAGGACATACAAGAAAGTCACAATGTGTCTCAGTGCTCGCCTTTTTACTCACCCAAGGCTGGCCCAAGGTCAATATTTTCAGAAAAATTGAGCGGAAGTTATTCAGGAATTAATCATTTTTAAAAAATAGAAATAGAAGCAACACTGATTAATAAATTGACTGTTTTTCTTTCACTGCAAATAGTAAGTAGTACCTTATAATCTTAAATTACAGAGCACATAGTCACCCCTGTGTCTGATTCTAGAGGGGAGGGTGGTCTTACACCTGCCACGCCTCTCCATTTCCCAGAGTATTTTCACTCCATCCTCTTGCACACGCGTCGTCTCCTCTGGTCCTGGCAAGGTGCGGCGGCCAGGGCGGGCGGGGACCGCCTGCGTTTCCCACGAGCAGGAGGGAGGCCAAGAGGCTGAGGCAACTCGCTCGGGGTGCAGCAGTGACTAGGGTTTTGTGGACTTCATTGCAGCGGTGTTCTGCGTCACAGCACGTGGCTTCTCCCCCTGTCACGTGGAGAGCTGAAACGTTACGGCCCGGCTGAGCTCATAGGATTCTTGACGACGCCGGTTAAATGGACTCCTCCAGCAGCTCACCAGTCTCAGGGGGCTCATCTCTCACATTCCACACATGACGGGATTCCTTCTGTCCCGAGTGAACAGTCTCCTCTCCAGGCATGAAGACCGTGATTAGGAAACAGCCATTACGTCACTCCACAGAGAGCCTTCTCTCACGCCCCTCCGAGTGAAAGAGAAAGCTCAAAAAAATCCTAATAATGCACGTTATCAAGTGCGAGGCCGGCTACCTTCCGTGTGTCTCTTTGTGGTGAGGAAGGCAGCCCGGAGCCCTTGCACCTAAAGGCAGATCAGATCTGTGAACCTGGGTCTGATTTTAGCCTCGAGGGAGCAAAGAGGATGAAACAGAAGCTCAG